TGGCAAATCGGCGATGACACCGACGAGAGGTAGAAACCCTAGTCGCCTTTCCTTGGAGGAGAGACATAGCGTGATAATTACTCTTTTTATAGTGTAGTTTCACAGTGTATCGAAAGAATTTTCATCAGCTCTTTGCAACTCTTGTAGATGCATAAAAACTTCGGTGTTTTTAGGTGAAATGATGGTAGTTGCACAAAAATGGAGAAAAGATAACATAAAAATGATGACCTTATACTTTGTCAGTGTACTGAAAGAATTTTCATCAGCTATTCGAGAGAAAGGTTCAACCTATGCTTTGAGAGAAATGCTCATACACTATTGGAATCTGGCATTTTACCGTCTGCCACCTCTTTGCCGTCTGCCAGCTGACGACAAAGAGGTTCTTTGCCGTCCGCTTTGAGGAAGCCGACGACAAAGAAAGTGCTTTGGGAGAACTGCGGCGGAGCGGGCGGGCGGGCGGCGGCGGCGGCGTATGGGGGAGGGAGAAGCCGTTCGTGCGAGGGTGTGAGGGGGTCTTATCTAACGGCGGGCGAGGAGAAACCCTAGGTCGTGGGATGGGATCGGCGCGATGGACCGCTGTGTTCTCGGCCCAATGGCCCGCTTAGACTCTCGGATAAGCCCGGCTGCGAGACGGGTTGTCTCGACTGAAGAAACGGTTCTCTTGGGCCTGGCTGCGAGACTTTTATTTCTCATCGATTTCTCAAAGACAGTGCATAATTAAACAGGAAAAAATAGAGAAAAAAGCACATAAAATGATGATAGTGTACTTTTTTTCGAGAAACTTTCAATCTATTCATCTTCAATCATGGCAGTACAACGAACACCAGAAATTATAAAAATTACATCCAGATTCGTAGACCACCTAGCGACGACTACAAACACTGAAGTGAGCCGAAGGCGCGCCGCCGTCATCGCTTCTCCCTCAACGGAGCCGGACACAACTTGTTGTAGTAGACAGTCGGAAAGTCGTCGTGCTAAAGCCCATAGGACCAACGCACCAGAAAAGCAACCGCTGCTGATGAAGAGAAGTTTAGATCGAAAGGATGCAACCTGAACACACATGAACAAAGACTGAATCCGAACAGATCCACCGAAGACAACCACCGACCAAATTCCGCGAGATCAGCCGGAGACACACCTCCACACGCCCTCTGGTGAAGCTAAATCGGGCCGGGGGCTAGGCGGGGAGAACCTTGTTCCATCTTGAAGAAGCCGTCACTGTCTCGTCTTCCTGAGCAAGACACAAACCCTAAAAAAACTTGAAGAAGCACCAAAAAAATGAAGCCCTCCCATCGGCAAGGGTCGGGATCCACCGCACACCCATGGCCCTAAGACCACAGGAGACGTGGCAAATCGGCGATGGCACCGACGAGAGGCAGAAACCCTAGTCGCCTTTCCTTGGAGGAGAGACATAGCGTGATAATTACTCTTTTTATAGTGTAGTTTCACAGTGTATCGAAAGAATTTTCATCAGCTCTTTGCAACTCTTGTAGATGCATAAAAACTTCGGTGTTTTTAGGTGAAATGATGGTAGTTGCACAAAAATGGAGAAAAGATAACATAAAAATGATGACCTTATACTTTGTCAGTGTACTGAAAGAATTTTCATCAGCTATTCGAGAGAAAGGTTCAACCTATGCTTTGAGAGAAATCGCTCATACACTATTGGAATCTGGCATTTTACCGTCTGCCACCTCTTTGCCGTCTGCCAGCTGACGACAAAGAGGTTCTTTGCCGTCCGCTTTGAGGAAGCCGACGGCAAAGAAAGTGCTGATGGCAAAAAGGATATTTGTCGTCAGTTGCTTCTTTGCCGTCAACCAGCGGACGACAAAGAGATAAAAGGCAGACGACAAAGAGCCAGGTGGGCCCCATAAGGCACGGTGTGGCTAGGTCAGCTTCTTTGTCGTCTGCTAGCGGACGGCAAAGAGGTGACTACTTTGTCGTCTGCTAGCGGACGACAATGTTCCTCCTTTGCCATCCGCTAGCGGACGACAAAGAGGAGACATGGGCCAGCCCTAACGGTCGCCCTCTTTGCCGTCTGCTATCAGACGGCAAAGAAGGCCCACTTAACGGGTCGTGGCCGTCTCCCTCTCTCTCTTTCTCTCTCCCTCCCGCGCGCCCGCCTCTCTCCTCCTATCGCCACCGTTGGCCAGCCCCGCCCCCCGGACCCAGCCCCCGCCGCCGGCCAGCCCCGCCGCCGTCCAGCCCTCCCGCCCCCCTCCGGAGAGG